CCATGTCCAGTTCTAACTGTTGCTTCCTGACCTGCATACAGGTTTCTCAAGAGGCAGGTCAGGTGGTCTGGTATTCCCATCTCTTTCAGAATTTTCCACAGTTTATTGTGATCCACACAGTCAAAGGCTTTCGCATGGTCAATAAAGCAGAAATAGATGTTTGACTCACAAATAAATAAATAAATAAATAAATAAATAAAACTGCTAGCACTCAACCCAAGCTTCCATCTTAGGATGGCTTCTTGGAGGACCCATGACATTAACCTGATGATGGCAGATCTATTTAAGAGTCAACTTTGTGAGGACTTCCCTGGTATTTTAAAGGCTAAAACTCTGTGTGCAGGGGCACCTGGCTTCAATCTCTGGTCAGGGAACTAGATCCCACATTCTACAACTAAAGGTTCCACATGCTGCAATTAAGACCCAGCACAAGTAAATAAATAAATATTTTTTTAAAAAGAGTCAATTCTGTGAGGACATGAAACGTATTTGCTCCAAACACCTGTTTAGCCAGTGCCTCCCCTTTCTCACCAATCCTGCCCAGCTTCCTCCAGATTTCACATCCCAATTCACCATCTCACACTCATGTCTCTATTCCGCCCAGGAGGACCAATTTTCAAGAATCTATTGATTCTTTCCTTCTATTGTTTTACACTTTACCTGCTGCTCATTAAGCTTTTTCTGTATTTCTTCTGAGTCACAGGAGTCGTAGACGATGGGTTTGGCCAGCTCTGACTCGATGTGGGCTAACCACGTCCTCAGGCTGCTCATGTTCTTATCCAGCTGCTGCACCGCAACCAGAGTCTCCTTCAGCTTCTTTACCCTGCGGGCAGAAAAGGAGGGATGTCAGCTTCAGGGAGAAGGCCTCACTCATGATTCCCTCTGAGCAGAAGCCAGCGCTGGGTCTAAACGCAGAGTCCAGCCTGGTTCAGCCACCCACTGTCTGTGTGACTGCGGGTGGTGGCATAGCCCTCCTGTGTCTCTATCTCCTCATCTCTAAAATAGAGAAGTAACAGTATTTATGAGATTCAAATTAGGTGAATAACGAAGGTGTCAGTACATGGGAAACATTAAAAAGAGTATCAGCCAAGGTTATCCTCAACACAGCTATCATGATATAAGTGATAGAAACCTCCTGGTTGTCACAGAAATTGTGACTTCATAAATAATATAATCTATACAACATACTCTCACAAATAATATAATGTATACTTCTACCAAGAGAGAAAAAGAAATATTGTCAATGATTTGTCACTAAACAGATCACATATCCATGGTTCTGATCACTTCAGCTCCACTGGGATGTTTCAGCAACACTGTAGCAGAAACTGAGTTCAACGAAGAAAGTTACCACATGCACTTATGCAATTTGAGTTTTCATGATGCCAGATCATGTCAAAGGTAAGTAAGGACATATTGGATTGTCAAGGGGCAGAAGGCAGGTGTCAGATCTACTGTTATCCAGTCTTCCACTTGCAGAGCCTAATTCGGTACATAATTCACTATGGCGGTGACGGCATTCATGCTCAATTGTGTCTGACTCTTTGTGACCCCTTGGACTGTAGCCCAGCAGGCCCCTCTGTCCATGGAATTTTCCAGGCAAGAATACTGGAGTGGGTTGCCACTTCCTACTCCAGGGGATATTCCCAACTCAAGGATTGAACCCGATTCTTTTTATCTCCTACATTGGCAGGAGGATTCTTTATGGCTTTGCCATGGGAAGCCCAGTATTCACTGCATGGCATGCATAAAAACAACAATAACAAATGCTGTTTTTCCATTCTTTCTGGAAGGAGTAAAAACTCATTTCTTTAAGACTGCCATTTCTCTAACAATAACGTGTGAACACTTTAGAAGTAAGATGCCAGAAAGACAAAATAAATGATTTGATTATTTTCTTAATGAAATGTACAATCTGATCAGAAATCTGGCATGGAAACAATGAAATATAACAATATGATAAGAGCTAAACTAAAGAAATGAACCAAGTTTCTGGCTAATAATTAAGGAGTGATCAATTCTGTCTTGCCACGTTCAGTAATTATTCATTCATTCACCACTTGTTCATTTCTTTATTCCTCCTACAAACATGTATAGTGCTAGGTAAACAGTGACAACTAAAGTTTCATCCTTGCCTTTGAGGAGCTTAGACTTTGATGAAAAAGAGAAAATGAAGAAATGATATGTGAGCTGCATCTTGAGAGGCAGANCATTAAAAAGAATTCATTTGAATCAGTTCTAATGAGATGGATGAAACTGGAGCCCATTATACAGAGTGAAGTAAGCCAGAAAGATAAATTCCAATACAGTATACTAACTCATTTATATGGAATTTAAAAAGGTGGTAATGATAACCCAATATGCAAAACAGAAAAAGAGACACAGATGTATAGAACAGACTTTGGAACTCTGTGGGAGAAGGCGAGGGTGGGGTGTTCTGAGAATAACATTGAAACAAGTATACCATCAAGGGTAAAACAGACCACCAGCCCAGGTTGGATGCATGAGACAAGTGCTCAGGGCTGGTACACTGGGAAGACCCAGAGGGATGGGATGAGGAGGGAGGCAGGAGGGGGGATTGGGATGGGGAACATATGTAAATCCATCGCTGATTCATGTCAATGTATGGCAAAAACCCCTACAATATTGTAAAGTAATTAGCCTCCAACTAATAAAAATAAATGGAAAAAAAAGTAAAAAAAAAAATTTAAAAATAAGTTCTTTTTTTGTATAGTTCTTCTGTGTATTTGTGCCACCTCATCTTAATATCTTCTGCTTCTGTTAGATCCATACAGCTTCTGTCCTTTATTGTGCCTATCTTTGCATAAAATGTTCTCTTGGTATCTCTAATTTTCTTGAAGAGATCCCTAGTCTTTCCCATTCTATTGTTTTCCTCTATTTCTTGGTATTGTCCATTTAAAAAGGTTTTCTTATCATTCCTTGCTATTGTTTGGAACTTTGCATTCAGATAGATATATTTATCCTTTCCTCCTTTTCCTTTCACTTCTCTTCTTTTATCAGCTATTTGTAAGTCCTCCTCAGACAACCACTTCATCTTTTTGCATTTCTTTTTCTTAGGGATGGTTTTGAGCAGTGCCTCCTGTACAATGTTATGAATCTCCATCCATGGTTCTTCAGGCACTCTATCAGTTCTAATCCCTTGAATCTATTTGTCATTTCCACTGAAATACATAAAATCTCATTACAGATCAACACTAATGAACATCTGGAATAAATCTGGAGATAAGAAACAATAATTTTGAACCTCAATTGAACAAAATGTTGTCCTTAAACCTAGATAAAAGAGACAAGTTAATATTCAATTATTATTAATTAGCCTGTATTACAAAAAAAAAAAGAACCATATTACAGATTTTTAATTTCATCAGCAAAGTTGGCTTCCTCTCTTATTATATAAATGCACAAAGCTTTGATTTCATATACATGCCTACATAATAACTTTAATTTTGCCTTTTGGACTGCCTAGCCTAACACATTTACTCTATATGGTTCTTTATAGTATTGCTTGTCTGTGATCTACACCTTAACTCTACCAAGTTTCAAAGCCTGGTCCTAATTGACTTTTTTTCCTTCTCCATTGTTTTTTATTACAGGAGATTAAATATAGTTCCTTGTGTACTACAGTAAGATCTTGTTGTTTATTTTGTATAGTTTATATCTATTAATCCCAAACTCCTAATTTATACTTCCCTCACCCTTTTCCCCTTTGATAAACAAGATTATTTTCTATATCTGTGAGTCTGTTTCTGTTTTGTAAATAAGTTAATTTTATTGTATTTTAGTTTCCACATATAAGGAATATCATATAATATTTGTCTTTTTCTTACTTATTTCATTTAGTATGATAATCTCTAGTTCTACCCATGTTGCTGAAAATGGCATTGTTTTATTTTTTTTATGGCTAAGTAATATTTCGGTGTGTGTATATATATATATATATATATATACACACACACACACACACACACCCATATCTTCTGATTCACTGGTCATTTTGTTTCCTTACGAATTCAGGCAAGGGGCATGACTTGAACAGAGGGAAACTGACAGTGGAAAGAAGAAAACCACAGAGCCTTTGACAGTTCAATGAATCCAGTGCAATAACTTAGAAATTGAAGGCCCTGAAACTGAGGGTTAGGCCTTCCCTGGTAACTAAGTAGTAAAGAATCTCCCTGCAATGCAGGAGACCTGGGTTTGAGTCCTGGGTCTGGAAGATCCCCTGGAGAAGAAAATGGCTACATATTCCAGTATTCTTATCGGGAGAATCCCATGGGCAGAGGAGCCTGGACGACTACAGTCCATAGGGTTGCAGAGTCGGACATGACTAAGTAGCTAACACCACCACCACCAAACTAAGGGTTATATTTTCTATTACTAAGTTCTTGTGTAGTGCAGGAGACTTTCAGTGGCAGGAGAGAAGAGGTATTACATTTTCCTTCTATTTTGAGTTACTTTGAGGAAAAATTCTTCTTTGAAGGAAAGAAACTTCAACAAATACATGATTGCCAGGTTTTGAACCACGTTTTCCAAGACAGTAGGATTTTAAAGCTGAAAGAACATAACCATTTCTGCTTTTATGACTGTATAAATATCAGGTTGGTTAGATAGCAGTGAGACATCAAAATGAGCTACCCGTACTCCCAGCAATATTCTTCTGATATTATACCAAAAACACTAAAAGCCTAGAGATACACTAAAAAGTAAAAAGAAAATGTATTTCTTTCAAAAAATATTTTCTCTAAATGACTGTCATCAGAAAATGTTGACAGTGCTAAATATCATATGAGCAGATGATTTGGCATTCTCTGAGACTGAGATTACAGCCACAGGAAAATATTTGAGGAGCAAATAGTGAGTTCATCTTTGCATATGCTAGATTTGAAATACAAGATGATCAAGAGGAGACATTCTGGAGGTAAATATATCTGTCAAAAACTCAGGAAGGATGCCTAAAATACATGTATATAGATGACTGCTAAATTCATGAGACTAGATAAAATTAATGATAGAAATCATACAGGTTGAGAAAAGTAAAGCAAAAGCTTGAAATCCTCAGTAAGAGGAATTGGGGTGTGGGAGGAGGTTAAGGACTGGCTAAAGAGACAGACCACATAACTGGTCCACAGAGACCCATTAGAAATTAAAAAGAGTGCCATTTCATGAAACTCAAACAAGACAAGAATGTCATAGACTTAGTGATCATATACATCCAAATGCTGTGGAGGGTCAGGTTAGCCCAGGCTGAGCTGAAAAAAATTCCAAGCAGAGCACATGCAACCCATCTGAGACACTTTCAGCAGAATGATGGGGTTTAAAGAGTACATGGGTGTCAAGTAAGTGAAGAAGTTGAGTGTGGACCGCTCTTTAAAAGAAATATTGACTGTGAAAGGCAGAAAGATACAGCAGAACTTATAACAGAATGCAGCTTAGAAGAAAGAAATTTTGCTTCTACTTGTTTTGAAAGAGTTCAGTTCAGTTGCTCAATAGTGTCCGACTCTTCGTAACCCCATGAAATGCAGCACATCAGGCCTCCCTGTCCAGCATCAACTCCCGGAGTTTACTCAATCTCATGGCCATTGAGTCATCTCATCCATTCAATGATCTCATTCAATCATCTCATCCTCTGTGGTCCCCTTTTCCTCCCACCTTCAATGTTTCCCAGCATCAGGGTCTTTTCAAATGAGTCAGCTCTTTGCATCAGGTGGCCAAAGTACTGGAGTTTCAGCTTCAGCATCAATCCTTCCAATGAATATTCAGCACTGATTTCCTTTAGAATGGACTGACTGGATCTCCTTGCTGTCCAAG